TCTTGTTTTGTGGGCGTGGCTTGAAATGGTTTTTCTCCCCCTACTGGTACCAACTCTTACATTACACATTTTATTTCCTGTCATAGTTTTTTCGGCTCAATACCCTAAAAGGTACCGCAAAATCTCCTGCTGTGGACCTTTTGAGGCTTAAACACCCTAAGACGTACCAAAACCCCTTTTTAACTCCTAAAATAGCCTGCGAGCAGGCTCACCTTTGAGTCACACGCGCGAGCGGCGAAGAGCAAAGCGATCCGGCGGGAAAGGAGTCTGGTGAAGAGGCGCCCAGAAAGTCTCGCGGCTTCACCGCTCGATTTTCGTTGTGCTCCAACGTGAGCCTGCTCGCAGGCTACTCCTAAAAGGGTACGGCGAGCACCTCCGTCATTTTTATGTGAGAGTCCCTCTCCCCGGGTCAATTTGACTTCACTGTAGGGCGAAGAGAGGTCCAAGCGAACGTAATAAGCCGGCTAATTCAAATGAGGATGCTAGTTTGCCGCCATGCAGGGACAGCTTTAGGCGAGTGAGTCGAGTGACAGTGACACTGACTCTGAAGTAGAGTAGATCTCTCTTGAAACAACACTGAACATGATCCGTCCGACCAAGTTCGGAAGAATAAAAACACTTACAGGTCGGAAGACGGATTTGCTGCGGGCAGGAAAGACAGGAATGTGAAGTGGCAGGAACTTTTTTACCCAACTAATCGCGATAAATTCCCTACTGGCACGTTTCCGTACAGTCCTATCATCTTCAGTCCATTTTCGCAGATCCTCATACATTTTTGGGTCTTTGTTGGGTCGTATTTAGAAGCCATATTTTTGCGGATGCGAAGAGAAAACAGCGGGTATTTGACACACTAGGATTTTTTCTGAATTCTGCTTGTGGGAGTGAGATTTGAGCACTGGGAAGTGGGATTTGGAAAAAAAGCATGGGCTGAGAAATGGAATAGGTACCCTCCCTCCAGGATCCTCCTCTAAGGGTCAGACGAGCGTCTAGTCTGAATTGTTTCACCTCATAATCCCTGCCTTGTTTCGAGCCGGAGAAACAGACTGCCGCGTTAGCTGTCTACTGAGGTGATCTTGCTACTGGTACTCTTTTTACTGGTTGCTTCTTAGGAATAAGCATTCTTAGCGGTTATTACTTTTAGCCCCTAACTGTTTCTATGGTGCTACACCTACCCGTCCTACCCCCCTTCGTGATTTATTCGTTAAACGTGAGACGAGTGAGAGACGAGTTACATTCTCAGGCAAGAGGGCACGTCAGGACCAGCGTGTATCCGTGACACAATATGCAACTTACATACGGTATTCATCGTATTCAGCGTCGTTCTACCCGCTGGTCGGTCGAAAGCGCGGGTTCATGCAAGATGGCTGAAAGTCGTCACAACAGACGAAGAAGCCATTAGGGTTCTGTTAAATTAAAATTAGGATTTCCCACTGGTTTTAGAAAAAGGCGCCAGCTGTAGAGAGTAAATAACAGTTGGTTCTTCTGGATTGAAGGTTCGAGGCTATTATCAATATCATATGGTAGGTAAATATTGAAGAGTTAAGCTTATACAGTCGATCCTTCACAAACAGACTCGTAAACCTCGCGCTAATGGCCGCATCTCTCCAGCAATAATAGCCACAAAACGAATCCCCAACCCCAAAATGGTTTCCCACAATGACGACCAAACAAAGAAACTGTTTTAAAAAACCGAGTCTGTTTATTTCTTTGCCTGCAGTAAAATACAATCGAGTGTAAGTTTAATTTTGGGCGGTATACCGCATTTTGAACATAAAAAACTGATGTCGATTTCTTTTTTACAATAACAAGACCCCAAAATGGTCTAATGCCAGGAATAAATGAGGGGAAAAGACACCATAAACTTGCCATAAACAAAGATAAGTAACTTTTATTCAAAAAGACGTGAACATCATTCTCAATAGCTTTTCTCACTTTTTGATTGACTACTAAGCCCATAAAATCTCATTGGTTTAAAAGTTGACAGTTTGACAGCTGAAAGTTGAACTTGAAAGCTTGCATAAATTATCTGTCTGTTATCTGTCTGCACTCTTATTGATGATAAAAATGAGCTAATCGGCACGTGAGAAATTAGACAGTTATTGTAAAATATGGTATTGATACCCATTAGAAAATTAAGCAGTGAATGTAATGAAGAAACAGTGGCAAATGAACATGCGTATGTCTGACGGTGGGCAACACACACAGGGTACATAAACTGGTGCTCAATTTGGCAACTTGAGAAGGTCAATGTGTTGTTGTTTGGTTATCGTTGTAGATCTATGGCTGTGTTGTTTGCCAGTACATTTACATGCGTTAAGCTTCATAAGAAAGTTTTGATCAAATGAGACGTAGTTATCTTTCAAGAGAATCTGCTATCTTTCTGATGGCGGCATGCATAAAAGTGAAAGTTATCCAACAAACACCCCTCTTTAAATTTGAATACCAGCTTGGGGATAATTTGGTGCGAGACCTGCCGCTACCATATGTGGTGATTTTCCTACTTCCTCCGTGCTTGATTTTTTTGTAAACAAAACCTGCACTTACAATCAAAGGAGAAGAGGGTCAAAAATCTGCAATGTGTTCACCATCTTGGAAC